GGTAGAACGTTTGCTGAGGAGATACAGCAGCCAAAGAATGGAAGAGTCAGCAAGGATCCATAACAAAGGAAGAAACACATGCTATATAGATCTGTTTATTATAACATGGTAGCAGTGGTGAAATCCAAATTTTTCTTACTACTGGTTCTGTGGGCGTGGCTTGGTGGGTGTGGTGTGGCTTGGTGGGCATGGCAGGGGAAGGATACTGCAAAATCCCCATTCCCTCCCCACTCCTGGGGGAAGGATACTGCAAAATCTCTGTTGTGGTCGTTGTTGTGACTTTGTGTGTGCTGTGTTCTTTGGAGTCCGTAGCTGGGGCAGAACAGTCTCCATTCCCACCCCACTGTGGGGCCAGCCAGAGTGGTATTTGCCAGTTCTCTAAATTACTCAAAATTTCCACTACTGGTTCTCCAAACTGTTCAAAATTTCCGTTACCAGTTCTCCAGAACCTGTCAGAACCTGCTGGATTTCACCCCTGTATGGTAGCAACAATAAGAAAAAAAGGAATAGAAACTCTTAACCCTTCAGTTCAGAATTGTTCTGCCCTCCTCATTTTCTGCAGTCTGCTTCCAGCAAGTCCGATCCCCAGAACAAAAATGCTAACTTTTCTTTACTGAACCTAACTTTTCTTTTCTTTTCCAAAGTATGATAGAACAAAAAAGTCAATAGGTTAATCTTTTTATTGGAAATATTGGAGAGATGCAGTTTGGTTGTCTTAGCTTCAAATTGCATGGAATCTAAATAAGAGCCTTGGTGGCGCAGCAGACTAAAGTGCTGTTAAGTAACACCAGCTGCCTGGTGTTAAGTGCAAGTTCAAATCTTACCAGGCTCAAGGTTGAGTCAGCCTTCCATCCTTCCGAGGTAGGTAAAATGAGGACCCGGTTTGTGAGGGCAATAAGCTGACTTTGTATAAAAAAGAACACCGCTTGGGGGGGGGGAAAGCCCTACTAAGCAGGTATATACAAAAGTATGAAGGCTATTGCTTAACGCATTGTAAGCCGCCCTGAGTCTCTGGAGAAGGGCGGCATATAAATTGAACCAATAAATAAATAATAAATAAATAAAATCATTATGGACATAAAATATATTCATATACTCGAGCAGTAAACATTGGCATTCAAATCCTGCCTTGTTATGAAGTTCGTTGCCTTAAAACACAGTGATGTCTGTATCTAGTGTACCTAACAGACTATTGTTTGCGGAGAATCTCAATGATTCATGTCCTGGTCGTGCTTCCCCCCCCCCAAAGTGCAACTGGGTTTTCTTGATTTTTTTCCTTTGAAAACATTTTGCTTCTCATCTAAGAAGCTTCTTACATTCCCTACCAGTTAGAACTGAAGAAGTATCTTGGACAAGACCTAAAATACTTTCAAAGAGGAAAAAAAACCCCAAGAAAGTCCAGTTGCTTTTTGAAGGGAAAAAAAAACACCTTTGGAACAAACAGGCTATTCATGGATAAAAATGGAGAAAACAATACATGACGCTGTGAAATCCTTGCATGAAGAATGGAATAAAACTACAAGAAGTATGTATGTTCTTATACACAATAGCGCAATAATAAAATCCCCCCTCCCGAAATGTCGCTTGACTTCCTACAGACTTTGGGATGAATTGAGCCCATGCAACTGGTAAACTTGTACAAATCATACAGCCATTATATAATCTAGGAAAAATCAATAGACAGTGATAGTGAGAATATCCAGCCTCAGGACAAATAACATAATTTAATGACAAACTTCTACATGTACAGTGGATATTTTTGTCAGGGCATTCACAGCAAGCTGGATTTTTGTCCAAATGATGGAAATATAAAAGGGATAGCCACTGAATTGCCATGCCACCACTCAGATTTTGCCTTTTGGCCTGCCAATGATGCTCATAATTTCTGTACTGATTTATCTTTTTATATGGATTTCCAAAGAATCCCCAGCCCCTAACAACATGCATCATGTAGAATCATAATTTGTTTAAGCATGCTTTATTATATAAACCATTATATAGTTAGGTAGACATATGTTAAGCTTGGTTATAAACATGGTTTATAATTATAGTACAACGACTAGGTTCAAGAACTGCATTATTTTCACTTAGTAAGCTTCTAAGCTAGCTAACCTGATTATCTGTCACATTTATGTATGGGCAAAACAAGGAAATATCACTTTATTGTACAGACAAATTAATGTTTCAAGTCCATTTTAGTAATTATCTAAATTGGAAACAGTCTTAGAAGGCATCACATTTTTAAGCCAATGCAGATGTGGTGTTTATTATTACAGATGTGAGTTTTAATTTGACCTAGAGCATCAACATATCACCGCTACCATCCTCCATAGTGGTACACAAGTTTAAATGATAGCCTTGTGAACAGAAAGTTTTGATAATGGATCTCTTGACTGCCCCATTTATTCTTAGAAGGTGATTACTTAACTAAGAATACATATGACAGGACAAAATCAAAGTATACTTCCTGCTGTACAACAGATACATCAAAACATCACCTATAGGCAAAGATTATCTGACACTTGAAAACAATCTGTTTATGTGTAGAATATTTTCAAGATCCAAAAATATGATATATGTTCTTTTACAAAGAATGCAATTAAAATAATATCTATATACACACTGCAAATGTAGTACAGATAACACATTCATTTAAGCCCATTTATGCACATTAGTAACACACCATGTGGCAGAAAGACTAGGACTACAAGAAGACCCCTTGGCAATTTATTTTATATTAAATCCCTAATGGCCTCTCCTTATCTTTGCAAAAATATGCAGAGAAGTCCAGGCTATGCAACCATTGAAGTGAATGGTTATTTATTTGCTAAACAAAAACCCTATGTTTAATGTTCCTTAGACATAAGGTAGTCTGCAAAAGTCACATTCCTACAGCTCCATAAATCATTTATTTTTCGTATCCTATGTCTTTGTAAGAAGCATCTGGAGAATTTTTTTTTTACAAAGTCTGAAATTTATTTCATGTGTCGTTATTAAAATATTAAAGAGTACCTTACTTTTATTGGGTTTTCTAAATTGAAATCGAATTTCTATAATCAGCCTGAAAATAGTCCATAAAGTAGCATTTAAGGCTTTGTACAATCTAGAAATTATTAAAACTCTTTGTAATGATTTTAACTGGGCAAAAGGGTATATCCTAGGGCAATAATTTTTGAACCAAGGTACCTCAAATGGGCTAATTTACAGAATACATCCAAAATCCAGAACCTGTGACTCCTGTGGAATTGAAATTTGGCAAGTTTTACAAAACATTTTAGGACATAAAACATATAAAACATTTAGGACATAATATGAAATATTAGATATATCTAGCTAATCTATCTCTGAAATGATGACCCAATGGGTCACAGGTTGTCTAGCTGTGATTTAATACAAGGCCTCTCATGTGATCGAAACTCTGAAAAATTTAAGTCTCCTTATGTCCAGCTCAACTCCGGGTGATTTTCTGTTCATACAGTTTTCTTCGCAGCAATTATCTATGTCTTTCTGCAGTGGAACTCAAGAACAATTTTCCACCAGAGATTTTTACTTCTACTTTTCAAAATATCCCATCAATATTAAACAGACATATCTGACAAATTTATATTTTGTAATGTCCGCCCAAAAACATTTAAAACCAAGCAGAATGGCAGATATCAACACTGCAGTTCAATCTATAATGCTTAGCAACATGCCCAATAACAAATAATTTTGAATTCCTAGGAAATAAAAATGCCAGTCACAGTATGTGGTGCATATCTCTTACCATGTAGCAGATACCATTATGATAAATATGTATGCAAGAATAATCAATCACTGATACAATGCATTTCTTTAATGGGAAAATTAGAAAAGCTGAAAATAGTAGATTATCTGGGTGAACACACATCTTTTTCTTTTTTTTCCAAACAATACTTAATCCATGTTTCCAATTATTTTTAAGCAACTATATTATGGCTACATTGGCAAAGAAGGCTCATTGATACCCATACCTTTTTCTGCTTAGTTGCCTTATAGAACATACCCCCAACAATTGAAAAATTGTCTCTGTGTAATGGCAGTTGCACTACTACTATAATCCTTCAACCTGGACAGGTAAGGATGGAGAGACTACAGATTATGAGACTACAGATTATGAGTGCATTATAATATTAAAATCTTGTTTTGCCAATGCTGTTAGCCCTGAAAAGTCTGGATTAGTTTTTCTGGTCCTTATTTCTTTCAAAACTTTAATTGCAGATTATAAAAGTTTATCTGTTACTTCTTACATGGAAACATGTAGCCTTTGTAAGGTTAGGGTTGGGTTACCTTTCTTTCATTACTATCTTGTTATGTGTAGGTAGACATACACAACAGAGAAAATGTTAATAAGATGATAAATCCCAGCCATAAGTCACCCCCTATGGCACAAGTGTCAAACTCGCAGCATCACTTTACCGTCACATAATGTTTCGCAATGTTTTTTCCCCTTTGCAGAACTGGGGTGGGTATGGTCTGTGCAATGTGCATTCAGCCCGCGGGTTGCCAGTTTGAGACCCCTGCCCTATGGCAATGTTTCCCAAACCTAGGTAAATTAAGACAAACTGGATAAAGCTGGTTTTTCTTTGGGTAACAACACACAAACCCATTATCTAATTTTTACAGGAACATTAAAGAAGGACTTTCTAATAAGTGGTTTTGGGTAATGAAGGCAAATGTTTAGGAATCACTGCTCTATTGGTTTAATTAGGAAATGCACCTACCAGGCCTTAAGGGGCTTTCTGCAATCTAGGGTCTTGATAATCATACATAAAATGATTCAGGCCTTGTGTTGTTTCAGGATTGTTTGAGTATATATTTCAAATGTCCAAACTAGAAAAGGCTATTCTAGAATATTAACAACACAAAGTAAGTCAAAAGAAATCCATCAACAGTTTTAAAAATCCTTATAACAATAAAAAAAATATAAGAATAACTTCAGGTAATTTCTGGTAAAAGCCTCCAGTTTGATTTTTCCTTACCTCCAAATTGATATATATGGTACTAACTGCTACTTTTATTTCTCCGTCTGACACCTCTTTGAGATCCTTGACCAAAGCTTCCTCAATCCTCAGCTCTGTGGAATAGATAGAAAATCATTCATTTTTGCTTAAAATTGTTTTTGCTAAGTATAAATTGTGTGCATATGTGTGTGTGTGTGTGTGTATGTGTACACACATGCACAAGAGAAGGAATATGATTTCTAATTTTCTTCCAAGAAAACATGATAATTCAAAAGCTCTTTTGATATTGACAAGATTCATCTACTTGGTCAGTCTGAGATAAATCTAGATGACCAAAAGTATCTATCAATGCAAACATAATAGGAACCTGTTGGAATATAGTTCTTTTCTAGTCAAGAACAATTTCTGTAATATAAGGATTATGATACAAAGGAATGAAGGAGGGGCAGCAGCTTTACAGGAACTTCATATTTACTCTGTAATCAGATCATATTTATTGTTTAAACTTTTACTCAGATATGTTTTCGTATAGAGATTCAGTGAATGGCAACCCATTGTAGAGGGAGCTGCAGTAGCATTGGGAAACAGAGAAAGTGGAATCCATGTTGTTTTTGCATTTCAGGACCTTGAGACCTGGCTTCCAATATATGAAATATATGATCTACTGTATATCTATATCTATACCAACTTCCAAATATTCTCCCAAATTATTATCTTTTGGCTCATATATAGTGGAAACATTTTGACACAATAAGAGAACATACACTCTTTTCTAAGCATTTTCAGAATTGCTGGTTCAAAATGACTGGTACTGAGCCAACATAAAATAAGCCAAATATATGGAGACATATCGCATAACAAGTGTTGTTTAGATTATAGCCAACATTCAGACTAGGAACTAAACCAGAAATTACTACTCATTATTCTAATAAAATTAAGAGTCCAGCAGACATTTAATGAGAAAGTATCAGACAGCTCAAATAAAGAATAAAGAGAAAAATTAAAGCAATGCTGTACCATCGTCATGCAGCTGTGCCTCCTGAAGGAAGGTGATGATGTCTTTTCGGGTTGAAAGTTCTGGGAATTTCTCCTCCAAACATGAAAGAACTTCTTCCTGTTCTCCAGGAATCTTAAGGACATCTTCATCCATGACTTTTGAGAGAATGCTCCCTGAAGGGTTTTTTTTTTAAAAGAAATTAGTTCATTAAAAAAAGACAACTATTACAATTAACTTATTAAATAATGTAAATAATTATTAAAGAAATAGCTCTCTATCCTTTCTTTTCATTCTTTATTATTTCTAGTAGTTTCTCTCACATTTCTTCACGTTCAATGATTATCTTTTTAATATACTTGTTCCTACAAATTATCTTCTTACCACAAAGAAATCATCCTTTGCTTTTAATCTGGAAAAATGTATCTTCAGACCCACAGTCCAAGGAATATAGGTAGTCCTTGACTTATGACCACAATTGAGCCCAACATCTCTGTTGCTAAGTGAGATAGTTAAGTGAGTTTTGCCCCATTTTACCACCTTTCTTGCCACAGTTGTTAAGTGAATCACTGAAGTTGTTAAGTTAGTAACACAGTTGTTAGGTGAATCTGGCTTCCCCATGGACTTTGCTTGTCAGGAAATTGCAAAAGGGGATCACATCACTAGTGGGATTCAAATCCCGTTGCTACTGTTTGGTCGCGGGTGCGCTCGCACTCGCATGTACACACAACACTTCTGCGTATGCGCAGAGACGTCTGGGCGGGTGGGCAGAGCCTCCCACCGTCGCCACTACCAGTTCGCCTGATCCAGGGCGAACCTGTAGCAACCCACCACTAGATCACATGAATGCAGGACACTGCAACCGTCATAAATACAGCACATGCCAGTTGCCAAGCATCTGAATTTTGATCATGTGACCATGGGAATGCTGCAAAACTTGTACGTGTGAAAAAATGGTCATAAGTAACTTTTTTCAGTGCTGTTGTAACTTTGAACGGTCACTAAATGAATGGCTGTAATTAATACTACAATTAGAAGTTTTCCTAGTAATTTAGAAGTTTTCCCTCAAGCAGAAATGTCTGTATGCTGCTTGTTAAGCTATGGGACAAACTATTGTCTTATTTAAAAATATAGCTAGTAATATAAAAATAACTATACATGCCTAAAAGGGATTGCTTGATAATGTTATAGTACCAGTTCTGGGCTATGCAGGAAAATAAAGGGGGGGAAAATCCTTAAAACTACCTAATAATTAGCCTTCCTTCTAAGTGAGCTAAGAGTTTTTCCCAAAGCGTAATTTCCCCATCTACTGTATAATGTTATTAAAATAATTTGTGCAAATAAGAATACAGCAGCATATATTAATGGATGACATTAAAAAGCCAAGGGACGTTTTTGAAGGTTAAATACCTGCATTTATGTATTATTTATTTATTAAAATTGTTGGCTGTTCAGCTCCAAAATGTCTCTAAATGGATTAACCTTTGAACTGCTAAGAGCTTCTGCATATTAATTGTTTCAGGTTTTCCACAATAACATCGCAAAAGGCAGACTTTTCACCCATAAGAATATTTATGACAGATCAGACTATTTGGCTACCTACGGTATCTAGTTTCATATCTCCAGGCAGCAATTTCTCTGATAAAACTATCTTACTTACTTACTTTTTCTTTCTTTCTTTCTTTCTTTCTTTTTCTTTCTTTCTTTCTTTCTTTCTTTCTTTCTTTCTTTCTTTCTTTCTTCTTTCTTTCTTTCTTTCTTTCTTTCTTCACCTTCACATTTCTATACTGCCTTCTCACTTAAGTGACTATTTTTTCATCATTCACTATTTACTTGTTTTAATTTATAGAGCTTTTGTACTTTGCACACCATCCAGCTGTAAATTTCTGTGGTTTAATTTCTATTCATGTTTGAAAAAAATACATCCTCTTAATATTCTCATGATACACAATGGATACATGTATATGCCTTAGTATCATGAATGAATGAATGAATGAATAAACGAACAAACTAGGAATTGTTTACATGCATGATCAGTTCTGTAGTGAAGAAACAAAATTAACTATCCCTTATCCCTGTTCAAAACTACGGCTATTTTCCATAAAGGGAGAAACCAACAATACTGTACAAAAAAGTAATTTGTAAACTATTTAAACATTCAAAATGGCAGAAGGCCATACTTTTACTATAGCCAGGAACAATTTTTAGGCAATTTTAATGTTGAATTCTTTTCAATCCATTATCCACCTACTCCCAGCAAACTAATAGTAATAGAGCCTGGTGGCGCAGCAGACTAATAGCCTGTTATTATCATTCAGCTGCCTGCAATTACTGCTAGTTCGAATCTCCCCAGGCTCAAGCTTGACTCAGCCTTACATCCTTTCTAAGGTAGGTAAATTGAGGACCCAATTTGTGGGGGCAATAAGCTGACTTTGTATAAATATACAAAAGTATGAAGGCTATTGCTTAACGCATTGTAAGCCGCCCTGAGTCTCCGGAGAAGGGCGGCATATAAATCAAATTAAAAAAAAACAACTATTAGTATATATAATACTATAATAATATAGTTCTGCCTCTGTCAATGACTTTTTTTGTAAAAATAATCTCAGTATAGATGTCCCATGTTATGTCTAGTTTGATTTTTTCAGGCAACACTTCTTGAACACCAGCTCACAATTATGGATATTGTTCGTAGACTTGTATTCTTTCTCTTGACAGGATTGTACAACATGATTGAGCATATATGAAGGCTATACAAGTAGTCCTCGACTTACAACAATTCATATAGTGACCGTTCAAATTTATGATGGAACTGAAAAAAGGTGATTTATGACAATTTTTCACACTTATGACCGTTGCAACATCCCCATGGTCACACGATCAAAATTCAGACACTTGGCAACTGACTCATATTTGTAATGGTTGCAGGGTCCAGAATTATATAATCACCTTTTGCGACCTTCTAACAAGCAAAGTCAATGGAAAACCCAGATTCACTTAATCACCATGTTACTAACTTAACAACTGCAGTCATTCACTTAACAATTGTGGCAAGAAAAGTCATAAAATGGAGTTGCAAAGTTAACTTAATAACTGTCTCACTTAGCAACAGAAATTCTGGGCTCAATTGTGGTCATAAGTCTCAATTACAGTACCCTCCAGATGTTTTGCGACTATAGTTCCCTACCTCAACAAATTTGGAGGACACCAAGTTGGAGAATACCTTGTATGAAATGATCACCATTTGAAGCATTTCCATAATCATTAGAAACAAATGCAGGTAGCAGAAAATTGTAAGTACTCCAAAAAGAAAACCACGATCAACACCATCAGAAGTTGTACCTTCTGAGGTTACCAAACAATTATAAAATGTAGCTGAACACTAAATTGGTTGCAGTACTTTAGTTTTGCTGTGTCTATAATATGTACAATATTGCCCAAATTTTTGAATGATGCAATAGTGGTCATAAATAAGGATGATTTCATATCAACTGGTCTCTAAGTGATTACAACATAAAGAAGTTTGAGATGCTGTGGTTATCATTGTTTATGAATGCACATTGAGGCCCAAAATTGCTTTAGAAGCTTAAACTAGCTTACAGATCAAAAGGCCTAAATTAGCCCTCTACTGGATAATGTTCTTAGAAATGTTCTAAGAAAAAAGAAAAAGTACATAATATCAAATAGTTTAAACTATCAGATCCAAATTGCCAAGTAAAACAACCAAGGCTCATTACTTTAGAATTAAAGCTTGCAAAAATATGTGCACCGATTTGGGAGCTTAATTGTACATAAAAAAAGAAGATAAAGAAGACTGTGCTTCAATACAGCAGTGGTTGTACCATGATTTAATTAATTTTATTTTAATTTATTGCTTGTCAACACAATGTAATTATGTAATTGATAGTGAATTGAGCAATAATTGCACACCAGCTTTTGCCAAGTCAGTTTAGAATATCAGTTAAGATGAGACGTAAATTCTTGAGCTAGGTAACTTTGTGGCTGGATATTTGCTGTTCCATCAGGCAGCAGAGAGGAACACAAAGAAGCATCCAAACTTCCTTGTTCTACTTCTCTCTTACTTAACAAGCCAGATGGTTGTTGTAATGCTGTCTTCTGCTACTCTCCCTTTCCAGCCCAAATCCTTTGCTTCAAGGGGGCTTAGAGAAAGGTATTTAAGTCAGGAAAGGCAGAAGGGAAGCCCATCATTGTCATAGTGGGAAAGTATTGTTATTAGCAGGCAAACAAGGAAGGTAGGAGTGAGTTGAGCAGGAGATGGAAAGAGCTTTAGGCAAGGTAGGCTCTTCTACCTCCAGCAGAAATCAAAGAGGAATAGAAATTAGAGTCTAATGGATTTTTCTTTTATAAAACTAAACATTCCTAATTAATTCCTAATTTGATCCCACCAGATCAAATAATGTAGCTTTTTAAAAAATACCTATTAAAAATAAAAATGTATATTGTATGTGATTCGTAATTGCATTTGTAACTGTAAGTCTTTTGCTGTGTAATTGTTCCACTATAAGCAAGGTGCAGGAAGAGGGACAAATATTACTGCCTACCATGTGAGGGCAATATAGATTGAATACAATAATGTACAGTATTTCAAATCTCAGTAATAGGGCTAACAGCCTAATCTGCCATCGGATAGCCGTCCCCCAAAAAAGTGTGAGGATGTGTTTAAAATTCAAGAACTATAGGAAAAATAACTGCATTAACCACACGAAGGAGCCCTCTAAGAGATCACATAGCTAGAGACTAACAAAAATATAGATGGAACTAAGAGCATACTAAGATGTTTGATCACATTCACCAGATTGTACTAACCCAACTTCCTAGAGCAATTTATATAAGCCCAAAAGCAATAGTTGAAAGACATCAACCTCTCCTGGTTTTGTTTTGTTTTTAAAGATCAGGACTGAGTGGCTCTGGATTTTGGGGCCTTCTGTTCCTGGGACGATGTCATCTTTGATTCTGGATGGGATTGCACTGCCCCATATAGCCCTGTGCAATTTGGGAGTTCTTCTCAACTCATGAGTCCTGCTCAAGGAGGGTAGCAGTTATGCCAAGGATGGCTTTGCACAGCTTTGCTTAGCATCAGTTGTGTCTGTTCCTAGATTGGGAGATTTTGCTCACAGTGACTCATACCCTGGTCATCTTCCAGAGTGTGAGTGGGGACTATTGTAACACACTCTACATGCATCTGCCCTTGAAAAGTATACAGAAGCTTCAGCTAGAATGGCACACATTACACTCCTGCTCCACAAATTGCATTAAATTGCTAATTTATTTCTGGGTTCAACTCAAAGGTCTGGTTTTGATCTTTATAGCCCTTCATTGCCTGGACCAGGCAATGGTCCAGGCAATGAAGACCAATTTGAGGGACTGTCCCTTCCAAATTACATCTGCCCATCCCATCAAATCTGGCAGAAGGGGTATGTTGCAGATCCCGTCTGCTAAAGAGCTACATCTTACAGGACCCCAGAGATGGACTTTTCTGCAAAGGCACCATCCATATAGATCAGACTGGATCCATTCCTTTTAACTTTTCACATCCTTGAAGACTTGGCTATATCATCAGGCTTGGGGGCCCCAAAATCATTCTCCAGATGACTCCATCTGTCATTCAATCCTTTTTTAATTGTAATATTAAATTGTAATTGATTGGTTTTTTTATATTAGTATTTTTTTTAATTATTGCAAACCACCCAGAGTCACATTTTGTTAGATGGCTAGTTATGCAAATATGAATTAATTAATTGTTTAATAATTAATTAATTAATTATGTAAGCATGTAAGTAAAGTAAAGTAAAATTCCACCATAATCTTGGAATTTTGGTACCTTGCAGACTATGTTATCAGTATGCCAGGTGAATTTGCCTGACAGTCACAGAGCAATTCTAGTTATTAATGTCTTTATAACATAGCAAAACAGAAAATATACTTGTTTTTATTTCATGTTCCCAAAATACTAAAAATCTTAAAATCTTTTTTTTAACTTTGGTGTCCACTTTCTGTTTCTGCTTTCTAAGGAATGACTTCCACACATTTTTCTTTAACAATTCCATGACCCACAGATGTGTTCTTGTTCCAAAGCCTAGATCCTTCTCCAAGCCATCTCTCATCTGGCCATTTTGTTTTTTATAACCATATAGAAAAAGTTAAAAACCTTTTGAATCTGTTTCACATTTTTAAGATGCAGGTTGTCTTCCCAAACTCCTTAAAAACATTTTAAACACATATATTTGATACAAGCTGCTAAAAAAAATTAACACAATCTCTTTCATATTATTTAACAACTGGATGTCATTTTTGTTCTATAATTTATTTGTACTGTAATATTTTCCTCACTTAAATTTGTTTTTGTTTATGTTACAATCTGTGTACCTTGTGGCATCCTTTATGGCCTTATATAAACAAACAGAAGAGAATGCAATGGCTCAAGATACTTGACAATCAGTTACCAAATTATATCCTTGACAGCTGGCTGCAGCCAAAAATGTAATGATTCAGCAATTTAATGGGTCTTGAGTTTGGCAAGAGTTCCTTACTAGCTACCTCTAGGGAAATAAGATGATACAGGTTCAGGTCTCCGGCAGGTTTTCTAATTGTTTGCTTCTGGCATAAATCCAAAGCTGGAGCAGAGCTCAAGTAACAGCAGAGCCTGTCTTGAAGTACAGTGAATCTTGAGGCAGTTTTGCTCAAGTCTATTGGGAAGAATTAATTTATTGTGTAGAATGGAGAATTGGCAAGAGTGCCAGTGAAAAGCAGAGCTTTAAAAATGCTTTAAATATGAAACTTACCTCACATGATAATTACCTCTGCAAATACTGCATTGAATTATTTTCTTAGTTTACAGCATTGCTTGTGCTAATGGCAGGCAAGCCCCATCTCTACGCTTATTTTTCTGAATCATACTGATTCATATATTTGTTTTTGTGATGGTAAATTGTGCAGGCAGAGGAAGATTGTCCATTTTTCCTAGGTCTGTTCATTCATTTGATTACATGGCTTCCTGTATCTGCTGCAGCTTCAGTACTGCTCTTCTTCCATACCAGAGCTTGGTCAATTTCTTTAAATGATTTAGCCCAATAGTAATCATACAGTGAATGTAATTATGCTATTCTCTGTAACAAATCTAATTTAGCAACTCCTGAACAAATTATTTTCAAAATGAAGGCAAAGTTTTCAGAGTTAAACAATTCCTAGGCTCCAGTGGTAAAATCCAAATTTTTTTACTACCGGTTCTGTGGGCGTGGCTTGGTGGGCGTGGTGTGGCTTGGTGGGTGTGGCAGGGAAAGGATACTGCAAAATCTCCATTCCTACCCCACTCCAGAGGAAGGATACTGCAAAATCTCCATTCCCTCCCCATTCCTGGGACCAGCCAGAGGTGGTATTTGCCGGTTCTCGGAACTGCTCAAAATTTCTGCTATTGGTTCTCCAGAACCTGTCAGAACCTGCTGGATTTCACCCCTGCTTGGCTCCCTTTTTACCTTCCGTGTCTCTTAATTTTCCAGAGAAAAAGCATCTTGTAGGGCTGGTAAAACTATGGCAATTATTATGACTATATTCTTAGTCCTTCTGTGTTTGCTTTTCAGTAATGTTCTTCTCACACTTCTTTTTTAAAAACTAAGTTTTTCAAATATAAAAAAAAAAAACCCATACACAACTAGGCACCACATAAATAGAATAGCCCAAAACACACATTCTGCAGAGGTCTTCAAACATGGCAGCTTTAAGACTTGTGGACTTCAACTTCAAGAATTCTGGGAGTTGAAGTTCACAAGTCTTAAAGCGGCCAAGTTTGAAAACCTCTGTGTTAGAGAGAACTTTCCTGAAGATGGGCTCTAGAATGAGTCCCAAAAGTTTGGAAGACTAAACCTCTGGTCTCATGACTGATCCAGATTGGATCCTGCAACAGTATCCTGGAACACGTTACATTCGCCTTCATTTGCTAAGTTTTTCACTTGTTCTTCTCTATGCTTCTAAAACTAATTATTATTTTACTTGTTACAGAAATGGCCAAACATTATCTTCCTCATGTGTTGATTTATTTTTTTCCACTTATGTAATCTGTATGTCTGTTGGACAGATACATCATCACCATGCAGAAACATTTGCCAATTTTGCTGATATCTCTCTGCCTATTCTATCTGAATTGGGAACACTATTCATAGACAATAATATCATAAGCAGCATGGAGGAAATGTTTAATTTGAAATCTTGGGTTCAAATCTTGGGAAGAATAAAACGGGTAACAGTCCTCTTTCCAAAATTGGATTGGTTTCACCAAACTCCTTAACTTTGGTTATTTCAACCTTCAAAAAATGCTTTGATTATTTAATCCATAAAAGGAGAAAGCTAATACAGCATCCGAAAACATTTCAGTGGTTAATTGATATCTAATGGTATGACTTTACATATTAAAGAAATTCTGCATCACCACAAGTTGTCAAAATGGAATGGCAGACAAATTTAGACAATATATCTATTCAAAGGCATCTTGCGTATAGTTCTCGACTTACAACTCATTTGTTACAAAAGCACTAAAAAAAAGTCTTTGCACTTACAATCATTGCAGCATCTCCATGGTCATGCAATCAAAAATCCAGGCACTTGGCAACTGGCATGTATTTTAGGAATTATGTGATCATCACTTTTGACTTTCTCAGCCAGCTTCCATTAAGCAAGCTCAATGGGGGGAACTGGATTTATTTAATGATGGTATGATTCACTTAACAATTGCAGTGATTTGCTTAACAACCACAGCAAAAAAGATCATAAAATTGGGCACTTAACAACTGCCTTGCTTACCAATGGAAATTCTACTTCCGACTGTGGTCGTAAACGTACGACAATCTACATTTAGGACACTTCTTATGGCATTATTTCCTTAATCCCACATATATAAAAAATAGAGCTATATGAGATATGCTTTGGTTCTTTCATGTGGCTGCCTTCACATAACACTGGTATCTAACAATACAACAGACATTCCAGCCATGCCTACTTGTAATATTCTGCATAATATGTAACAAACTCTTCTCACTCTGCTTGTCTCTTGCAGCTTCCTGTGGTTTTTAAAAGGATTGTTAACCAAAGAATGGATCACAGTCTCACTGCATGAGTGGATGCAGAAACACTCCATTAAACTTTTCAGTATTTAATATAAAGACCAATCTCTCACCTCTGAGAAGATGAGCCAGTTGCTGAGTGATTAACTCTGGTGCCTTTCGGAGAAGCTCTTTTGCTACAAGACAGGAAGCAGATTCTAACAGCTCATTTTGCTCTTTGGGGATGATGACTTTGACAACAGCTGATTCTAAATTTTTATCTTCGCTATAAAAGAAAAATGTTAAAAGTTGCTCATTATTTCATTTGTGTAGAACTCAGGGTTTTCCAGTTTCTAGTCTGGTATTTTAACCACTATACAAACTGGCTCTTAATATAACATTGGATTTAACCTCATTATCATCATCATCATTCCAGCCATTGTCTATCCCCAGCAGGATTAAAGCCTCTTCTGCATGCTTCCAAACAATACAGTCTTTGAGTTTTCCTTTGCCAGTTGGGCCGCAATATTTACTGATGTCATTGCAACGTCTTGTTTTCGGTCTCTTTTGTGGAGGCTTTTTATGAAATGGAGATTTAATCTAAATATAGTTAAGTAATATTGCTTTTAGAAATAAGAAATGAATCTACTGTGATATGTTAATAATTCCTTTATATTATCCCGTGGGCATATGAAACCAATGGTAGCCAGCAGCATGGAAAGAACACCATAAATTTATTTCGCTGCTTCCATCTTCATGATATTGTATGTGCTAACAACATTCCCCAGCCAAGCTGTGATAAGACTGACTTAAGCATACAGGACTCTTGTTGGATAAAATCTGTTTTTCTGTTAAGAAATCTTTACACTGATGAAAAGCAGCTCTGTTAAGACTATAACAATTATAAACTGTGGGACATTGCTGAGAGGGGGAACATGTTTGAAGGGTGTTTTGAATTTTTGCTTTATACAGAATCAACCCTTGAATGCTAATGATGGCACATAAATACATCTTGCAATTAGGAGCTGTAAAGACATTACAACACATGTGTTTCACAAGAAATTTCACTCACACAATCTCTCTACAGTATTCCAAGGATATATTTACACAAGCATTTTGATATGAAGAGGTAAGAGTTTCCAAAGTTTTCCAAGATGACTCCAGTCCTATTTGTTCTGCCAAGTTTATGAACTACAACTTCCAACATTTTTCACCACCTGTCATTTGGGTGGGATTGTTGGGAGTTTTAGTTTGCAGCACTTGAAGAACATATATTCATTACCCATATATAAAATAACTGTAGCACAAGAGGTTCTTCTGATGAAATTCCTGTCCCCTTCTAGAAGCAGTCCTCCCCCTTTTCTAGTAATACAAATTTGAAAGAATGAATTTCTCTCTTCTCATCCACCCATGGAAAAAGTGGGAGGGAATAGTGTTGAAAATGAGGCAAGATCCTGTCGACACCAATCATGCAAAGAATATCCTGTTACAAATTAGTATACTTTTTGTGTGAAAACTTAGTAAAAACTGGAATATATGTTCACTTAAAGGAGATTCCAGGTTCAGATAAGGTTTTTTTTTTCAAAACCTACAGTAGGAAAAAATAATATTGAACTCTGCTTCTACAGTTAATCTCAGTGTTACTACTCTTCTTTTGCTGATGCCATTTTTATGAACCTGGCATTTAACATAACTTGCACGCCTAATTCTGACTGAAATGTCATGCATCACTTAAAGATATATTCTAATATATTCCTTAAACAGAGGCAGGACTCTACAGATAGAGATAAGTGAATAAGGCTTGAGTAAATTATCTGCAACTCCAAACACGAACTGCCTAAATGTATGTAGTAAATGGTTGTTGTGAGTGTTGTGTTCCCTAACATTTCATTATCCTTTTAATACTATAAAACTTTATGAATATCAGTGGCATTATGTGATGCAAAATCTTCCAAATAAAGTAACCAGTAATTTATCCAAGAATAAGATAAACTACCAGGAGAGAGGATTTCTAGAATCCAGACGTGAATCTGTCTATGGAGATTCTCCGTCATCCAGGTCAGACATCCAGGTTGTTTGAAAAAATACCTTTGAGATCTACATGAATCTGTTCAAGCAGGGTTTGCTAGTAATAATAACGATGAATAAGGAATTCAAGATGATACCTTGTCAATGTACTGCTGTTCACTAGCGTAAGAAGCAATTTCCCTTCGCTGTTCAGTTGATATAAATTGATTTCATCACGGAAGATGTGGAGAGACTCTGGGATATTCAGCTCCTCCAAAATAAATCTAGTCTCTGGGTGGTAGCAGATTTCTCTTCTTGATATATTCAGTACTGGCAAACATACGATGTTAGATGGACTGACCTACATCAAGAGAATTCCTGGAAATTAGAAAGCACTCCAAGAGTGAGGATAACAATTTCATTATGAACTGACACTACACCCTGGATCAAGTTTGCACTTCTATAAAAAAAAGTTTGATTCCTTAGGAAATTTTTCACTGCAATTTTATAGGTGACATTTTTTCCAGCCCAGAAATAGATGACATGGAATAGATCAGTGGTGGGTTTCAAAATTGGTGAAATTGGCTTGGTGGGAGTGGCATGGCTTGGTGGGCGTGGCTTAGTGGGCGTGGCAGGGGAAGGATACTGTAAAATCACCATTCCCTCCCCAATTCAGGAGAAGGTTACTGGAAAATCCCCATTTCCTCTCAATCAGCTGGGATTTGGGAGGCAGAGAATAGATGGGGGTGGGGCCAGTCAGATTTTTTACTACCGTTTCTCCGAACTACTCAAAATTTCTGCTACCGGTTCTCCAGAACTGGTCAGAACCTGCTGAAGCCCACCTCTGGAATAGATATTATGCAAGCATCTTCATGAATAAAAAAAGTATAGATTTAGTATGATATATGAATAGTAAAGTACCCAGTGTTCATGTCTGATAAAATTGTAGCAATCTAAAGTAACTGAAGATTTTTTTTCTCCAACAATATTTTCATTTCATTTCATTTCATTTTATTTCATTTCATTTGATTTATATACCACCTTACTCCCAAAGGACTCAGGGCAGTGAACAGCCACAAGATAAAACACATAAATACAAAATTTAAAAGCAAAATAAAACTGAATTAAACAATTTGGCCCAAGACAGATTTAAAATACCCCAATAATTTAAAACAGATTAAAATTTACATTTAAAAAAGGGAAAAAAGGGGAAAGATTAGGCCAGGGCAGCCTGAGAGCGTGGCGGAAGGTGCGCAGATCCGGGATCCTCCGTATCTCCGGGGGGAGCTCATTCCAGATAGTAGGTGCCCCCACAGAGAAGGCTCTCCCCCTGGGGGCCACCAGTCGACATTATTTGGCCGACGCCACCCAGAGGAGCCCCTCTCTATGAGAGCGTACCGGCTGGTGGAAGGCTATTGGTGGCAGCAGGCGGTCCCTTAGGTAACCAGGTCCTAAGCCATGGAGTGCTCTAAAGGTGGTAACCAAAACCTTGAAGCGCACCCGGAAGACCACCGGGAGCCAGTGCAGCTCACGCAGGAGAGGTGTTACATGGGAACGCCATGTCGCTCCCATAACCACCCGCGCAGCCGCACTCTGCACCAGTTGGAGCCTCTGGGTGCTCCTCAAGGGAAGCCCCATGTAGAGAGCGTTGCAATAGTCCAGGCGGGAAGTGACAAGGGCATGAGTGACCGTGAGTAAGGAGTCCCTATCCAGAAGGGGACGCAACTGGCGAATCAGGCGAACCTGATGAAAAATCCTCCCGGTCACAGCCATCAAATGCTCTTCTAAAGACAGCCATGAATCCAGGAGGATGCCTAAGTTGCGAGCCCTCTCCGTGGGGGCCAATGATTCACCCCCAATAGTCAGTGATGGCACCAACTGACTATATCAGGATGTCGGAAACCACAGCCACTTGGTCTTGGATGGGTTTAGCCTGAGCCTGTTTCTCCCCATCCAGATCCGCACAGCCTCCAGGCACTGGGACATCACTTCAAGGGCATCGTTGGAGTGGTCCGGGGTGGAGATGTACAGCTGAGTGTCATCAGCGTACTGGTGGTACTTCACCCCGAAACCACAGATGATCTCGCCCAGTGGCTTTACATAAATGTTGAACAAAAGGGGCGAGAGGACTGACCCTTGTGGCACCCCACATATGAGGGGCCTCGGGGTCGACCTCTGCCCCCCTGCCAACACAGACTGCAACCGGTCGGACAGAAAGGAGGAGAACTACCACAACACAGTGCCCCCCACCCCTAACTCTTCCAATCGGTGCAGCATGATACCATGGTCGATGCTATCAAAAGCCGCTGAGAGATCTAATAGGACCAGGACAGAGGAGCAACCCCTGTCCCAAGCTCTCCAGAGATCATCAACCAACGCGACCAATGCTGTTTCCGTGCTGTACCCAGGCCTGAAGCCTGACTGGAACGGATCCAGATAAATACATCACCAGATATAATTTTACTTTAAATGCACAGAATAGACATATCATGGTAAATTATGGTTTATTGTAAACATGATTTATTGGACAAACCCTAGTGACCTGGTTCATAGATATATCTATGGGCCAAACCCAAAGGCCCAAAAAAGATACTATACCAGTCTTGGAAGATCGATTTTGACAGAGCAAATTTCTCTTCAGTTGTATAGTGAATGGAAGGAGTAGCGGGGGGAAACTTGCTTGCATCCACCAAAAACTATGCAGCTCTACTTAGTGGATATGTGTAGGTAAGCAAAACAAATCTCCATGCAACAAATATTTTAAGTATAAAAACAGTTTATAAAGAAAACTATATGGAATAGTCAGAATAAAATTCTAGACAAATTATATATGTAAAATATATTTTGGATAACTGAGCTATAGTTATTAGACAAACATCAGAGATTAAAACAAATAGCCTTGCAATGGTTGCAATGGTTCACGGTCATTAAATCACTTTTGCTATGATATAAATGATTAATATTTATATGATAATGGAGTTACAATGATTGAAACACAATGATATACAAAATATTTACCTTTTCAAGATAGTAGGCATAAGCTAAAGCAGAAATAAGTGAATCCAAATCACAGGATTTCTTTCCAAGGACTACGTGTACTTTATCCAAATGTTTATTGCGACTCTGAAAAAAAAATCAATTTTTAAGTGGTTAAGGAATGCAGACATATGTTATTTCTTGAAACAGAAAATAAAACCCCATCCATTTGTTGGATAATAGCAGGCCATCCTTGATGCTTGGTATATATGAGACTATAAATGATATAACAAAGGTGGCCCAGCTCAAATGTTAGAAAAACCATAGTTCTATCTATGTGAACAACCAAAAAGTCTTTATTACAATCACAAACCAGCACAGATCAACCAAAACTAATCCAAGCCATTCCTAATATCCTCTCTCTTCTTTTTTATGTCAGGGAGTTGTCATGTCTGTTTCTACTTCTAGACAGACTGTAATTTCTCATTAGAGTGGTAACTTGTTACTCATCATTAATTGGTTCTGGGAGGTGCGATGAATACCAAAAACGATGGGTACCAAACACATGTTTACCATAAGGAATAATATAGCGAGCCACAAGGCAACTGACACTGACAAGTTTTAGTTTGTGTATTGAGAATCAACAAACGATGAGTACCAGGACAAAATTTTAATGTCAAAATGCATCGAGTACCAAATTTATGAGTTTCAAAGCGGTTAAGTACCAAGGTACCACTGTATCCCCATGCACAGGCCACCATGTTTTGTTAAACATCTAGCTATTGGAGAGATGAGGATCAGGGGTTAACTACCCACATAAAATAAAGTAGACCAGTTCAAATTGAGAATGAACAATGGACACAGAATATAGTAAGTTCTGTAAGGGATGGTCAATAAATATATGAAACATTAATCCTGATTGGTTGGCTGGAACATAGGAATATATCAGGTATTTTAATTTTTGTTATCTGAATAAAGAGATACTTATTTCTTTTCAATATTCCTTATTTTGGGATAACTACTTTTTAATATTCCACGATCAGACTTTTGTTCAATTACCATGGCCTTTATTCCAAATGCTTTCTATTTCTTAAATTATTTATATTTTTATTCACTATCAAACTCTTCAATAACTTCTTCTGTGGAGTAAGAGAAAAATAAGTGCTGCTCTTGATTTTAAATATGCCTATGTACTTACTATCTCACAGACTCCACTCCCTCTGATTATACTCACACCCATAAATATTTTTGTATATTGCATTAACATTACTCGGTAAATATGTGATTTAAATGAATTAAGCTAAGAACAGGAAGTCCATGTGGACAGGCCATATCATAAAACATTACAACAGATGGACAAAGTAGTTGTGCCTTGAAGCAAACTAAACAGATTCAGAAGAAAACATTAAGTGTAATGATTAATGGTGCAAAACATAGTGGAGATGTTGAAAGAACTACTGTAATGTGTCTAAAGCAAAAAAAGCATATCCATTCCTAACTATTTTAAATTCTCTTTTTCGTAAAAAAAAGATAAGAAAGAAATCTGTCTGCCCACTGTATTTCATCTGCAGCTTCAGATGAAAGCCTTTCAAAAATAATACAGTTGCATGCACTTACATAAAAGTGCATACAATAGAAACAGTATATATTACATTCTGGAAGTGGAAAGTGGTCAGATCAAGGTTCTGGGAAAATCTTAAAGTGATACTTCCTCAGGGCTCCTCCCTTGCTGTACATTTCTGACAGCAGTCAAGCATTGGATACCTGAAGGAGAAATAGATGTGTAAAAGGAAGGAGAGGAATAAAAGAATTCAGAGATCGGAAAAAATATGTGGAGATTGTTAGTAAAAAAAAAAGATTAGCCTAAAGAAACAGGAAAATGTGAGAGGAAAAAATCATGATTGTTCTATCTTGTCTTTCTTTGATATAAGAGGAAGGGAAGGAGAAATTATTTCAGTCTTACAAGATTGTAGCCTATGTCTATAGAGTCCTAGTATTTCTTGCAATGTCTGTTTCCTGATCTGGCCTATCTCAAATTGTTGCCATGGGGTGACTGGGGTATACTGAATGAGCAAAATGCAAGAGAGAAGGGTCAAAAAGAAATATGACTTTTGGCAAGTCCCTCAGGGATCATACTCTCACAGTGAGACAGCCTCACCCACTTTAAGCTATTTACTAAATTGTTGTTGGTATACACAGATTTTTTTTCTGATTTCTTGTCTTGGTGTAGTTTTATGTAGAACTGTAAGACATGATTGATTCTATAGAAGACAGCAAGAAAGGTAATCCATTTACATAGATAACAGTGGACTGGCTGAATATTTTCTTCCAGCCTTCCTCAATTAGTTAGTAAGATTTTGCATTCCACACTAGTACCACCTTCTAAAACTTGGAAGAGTTCCCAACTGAATATAAACATTCTCATAATGGATGCAGTCACCAAGTGTCGGCTTTTAGAGATAGGCCAAGTAGGCCTTTCTTATACCAAGTAAGGACTCTTCTCTTTCTCACACCTCCTCCTTTCCTTGCTTTAACTGCACTCCTTCAGGGTATCTACACATTCTTCTAAAGCAGACCTACACAACGTGTGTCAAGCAGTTTTATGCAGCCTGCATTTTTTTTTTGAAAACTCAATCAATCCACTGCTGCTAAATGTCACTATCACAAAGAATCTGCTGCCATTCCCTAGACTTTCACAACTACCTCCAACCTGAAAGACATGCTGCAAAGCACCTCCAATGTTTCCAGTTCTCGTCAACACCAACACTGCCAGCAATACTACCCTCTGAACAACTGACTGGCATGCCAACCCTTCTTTTGTGGCCAGTAAATATTTTAATGTAGCAATGTGACCCTTTCCCCTCTATGAATTGTGCCGGCCTGCTCTACACCAAGTCATTGGAGCCGAACCAAATTTTATTGGTATATGGCTCTTTGGTGTTTTATTTGTTAATGCATTTTGGCTTAAACAAAAACGATTGCTTTGAAACCTTAGAGCAACAAAACTGCTTTCTCTTTTGCAAGTGGCATAAGATGCTTGATTATTAGAATCAACAAATCCCTGAATTAACTTGGCCTTCTCCCTAAAATATTAAGCAGGAATATTAATAATTAAAGGACAATTTACATCTTGGGAATTCTATATGTAACCAGTTCATAGCAATTTAATGTCTATTTTAGAACAATAAATGTTGGCCAATGGACAGGAAAATCATGTATCAGAATCCACTGTCCTATCTCATTATTCTGCTGGACCTTTTAGAAGCATTTGTCAGAAGAGAATATTGATTGTGTTTATTCTTTTATTTGATTATTAAATTTTAATCTCCATTTTGGCTCTAAATCTAAATTCTGCAACCTTTTCCCCCCAACCTCTTTTTTTTAAACTCATCTCTAAAAATGGTGAAAGTGAATGTGGTGCTTAGCCCAAAACTGTTTGCTCATCCCAATTCAATGGCTACTATCCTCAGTTACACTAGAGATTGAAATTCTGAATAAAAATAGGATGTAATAGAGCAGTCACAGGAAACAGCAAGAAGATCTTAACTAAGCCGTATGAAGAGAAACTGAAAAATTATGCAAAATCTTGCAGAAAGGTGACCAGAAGGAAATAAAGTGCAATTGATCACACAAGTCAAAAACATGTCTTTTTTTTTTCTCCAGATGGTAAGACATTGGATAATGTCTTTATTACTCAAGTTGCAGGAAGACAGATCCCAACTGAATGTGAGGAAAAACTTCCCAACAGGAACAGAGGTTTGACTGTAAAAACAATTCCAGAAGGATTTGCTTAATGGTCCTGCAGTAGACGTATTCAGAAACTAGACAAATAGCTGTCAGGGATATTTTATTCTTGATTCCTGCTTTGAGCAAGAATTGGATTTGGTAGCCTAAATCCCTCTTGGTTTCATTCTATTTCATTTTAAAAAGTTGTTTCTTCTTTTTTAAAAATAAGAAGGTTCTAAGTTAATAAGGATAGTTAAAATAAATATTCCTGAAATTAATTGGAAAAATTCCAGTCAGCATAACCACTGGAGAGCATGAGATGAATATCATGAAACAACAGCAAGACAGTAACACGACTACACATTTTGTCTTAAAAATGGGCTGATGATGAAATAGGGAAGATCTCTCTAAAATTGATAATTAATAGAGGAAAAGTGGAATACAAAAATTAGGAAGCAATATGCGGTATTTTAGAACTCTATGGTCAGGTTTTGATCAAAAGGATCATAATGAAAGTTGAAATAGCCTAGACCCGTTATGGCGAACTTATGGCACGTGGGCCATAGGTGGCACACAGCGCCCTCTCTGTGGGCACGTGAGCCGTCACCCCAGTTTAGCTATGCCGCACATGTGCACCTCCCACTGGACAGCTGGTCTTCAGGTCTCTGCAGAGCATGCATGGGTGTGGGGTGCGCACATGCATAGGGCTCATATGGAGGCATGCGCACTTTCACGAGGCACATGCATGGGTGGTGTGCATGCACAGAGGTGTGGGTGTGGGGGCACATACATGTGCAGGGGCAGGGCTGTGCAAGGGGCGTGTGCACATGCAAGGGGTGGGGCACATGCGTGGGGGGCCACACGTGCATTGCATTTTGGGGGTTCGGGCACATGCGCATGCATTTGCACACGCATGCGCGCGCTTGGGAACTCGGTCCGGAAAAGGTTAGCCATTACTGGCCTAGATGTCAGTCAGTAGAACCTTTCACAACATTATACCCACACACCTCAACCTTAAAAAGCACTACAATTTTTTCCTAAGAAATCAAGCACATAACTCAGTGGTCATTGTTCTACAAAAATGTTATTAACTTTACTCATAACCTTTCTAACAATCATTGAAGCCTCTGAAAGCCTCTGAATCTAAATATGATATTCATATGGATATGATACATTCATAGCAATATGAATGTAACCATATTGCTAGAGGTTTATTTCAGTCTTCCATTATTTTCTGCTTTGAAATATTAAAATATTTTTAATACTGAAATGGAGGCGATTGCCTCACCTAAGGTCCCAAGACTTTACATGTTCTTCTGCACTTGCAACTAACCATAGATGTGTCTTTCAAATAGTTACTAGCATAATTGTTTCAGCAAAACTCTTGTGTCAAGACCCTTAAAAATGTGGCTGCTTTGCTT